CACTATGCTAGTTCCTGCCTCTGTGCCTTGGCGTGTGTCATCCCTCTGCCTGGGTTACCACCCCCCAACCTCTACATGTGAAACTCACATTCATCTTTCAAAATCTACTCGAGATGTTGTCACCTCTTTATGCATATTTCCCTTAACACTTAAAACATAAATATTTAGTAAACAAATCATTTAAGTATTGAATGAATACACTAGTTGTTTTGCTGTCTTTCTTATCCTGTTCTTTCTTTGTGTTTTGTTCCTTATCGTCTTAGCCTCAATATAATCAGCCATATTCAAGCTCTCAAGCTGATGGTCAGTGTTAATGTCCCAGTTTTGCCTTTGTGAAATTTATGCATTTATTGGGATGTGTCTTGGAGGACTTTCAAAACCATGGAGCTAGAAAATTCATTCTAAATTCTGAGGTGCCACATTTGAGAACTGTGACCAGCCAAATGTTACCCCGCTGACACCATGGTGAATTGCTACTGATACTTGTCCTGAATCTTTCCCCATTCAGCGTTACTTTGTCATTGCATGAATCATTCCTTAGGGACACGTAGGGAGTAGATCAAACTTATTTTTTGATAACACTAGAGAAGCGTTTTCTTCACCCTTGGGTTGTGTTTCTTGCATTAAAATAGCAGTCAGTTACATACAAAATCTAATTTGATATCTACCTTTAACAAGACATTAGGCTAGTGAATAAAAACTAGCATATGGGCCTATTGATGTCAGAGACCATATAGGACATTTTGTCTGCAAGGAACTTATGAATTAGTAGGAAAATTGGATAATAAACATAAAAGCACAAATAAATGTAAAATGTACCTTTGCTGAAAATGATGAAGAAAGGGAACCTGGTATATGAAAAGAGGCCCCATTGTACGTTTAGTCTGAGAAGTCAGGAAGAGCAGTCCTAGGAAAGTGAAAATTGAGTATATTTTGAGATGAACATGTTTAATATTCATTTTTACATCATTGACAAATCATTTGTCAATGGTTCAAGAGTTAACTAAAGTCACAGATAGTTGCCACAACATAATAGGGGAAGCATAGACTTTGGAATTAACCGGAACTGATTTGAATCCACGTGATACCTCTTACCAGCTGTGCATCTTAGCAAGTTCTTTGCTTTTAATTTTTTTTTTTAACATCTTTATTGGGGTATAATTGCTTTACAATGGTGTGTTAGTTTCTGCTTTATAACAAAGTGAATCAGTTATACATATACATATGTTCCCATATCTCTTCCCTCTTGCATCTCCCTCCCTCCCACCCTCCCTATCCCACCCCTCCAGGCGGTCACAAAGCACCGAGCTGATATCCCTGTGCTATGCGGGTGCTTCCCACTAGCTATCTACCTTACGTTTGGTAGTGTATATATGTCCATGCCTCTCTCTTGCTTTGTCACAGCTCACCCTTCCCCCTCCCCATATCCTCAAGTCCGTTCTCCAGTAGGTCTGTGTGTTTATTCCTGTCTTACCCCTACGTTCTTCATGCCATTTTTTTTCTTAAATTCCATATATATGTGTTGGCATACGGTATTTGTCTTTTTCTTTCTGACTTACTTCACTCTGTATGACAGACTCTAGGTCTATCCACCTCATTACAAGTAGCTCAATTTCGTTTCTTTTTATGGCTGAGTAATAATCCATTGTGTATATGTGCCACATCTTCTTTATCCATTCATCCGATGATGGGCACTTAGGTTGTCTCCATCTCCGGGCTATTGTAAATAGAGCTGCAATGAACATTTTGGTACATGACTCTTTGAATTATGGTTTTCTCAGGGTATATGCCCAGTAGTGGGATTGCTGGGTCATATGGTAGTTCTATTTGTGGTTTTTTAAGGAACCTCCATACTCTTCTCCATAGTGGCTGTACCAATTCACATTCCCACCAGCAGTGCAAGAGGGTTCCCTTTTCTCCACACCCTCTCCAGCATTTATTGTTTCTAGATTTTTTGATGATGGCCGTTCTGACTGGTGTGAGATGATATCTCATTGTAGTTTTGATTTGCATTGCTCTAATGATTAATGATATTGAGCATTCTTTCATGTGTTTGTTGGCAGTCTGTATATCTTCTTTGGAGAAATGTCTATTTAGGCCTTCTGCCCATTTTTGGATTGGGTTGTTTGTTTTTTGTTATTGAGCTGCATGAGCTGCTTGTAAATTTTGGAAATTAATCCTTTGTCAGTTGCTTCATTTGCTAATATTTTCTCCCATTCTGAGGGTTGTCTTTTGATCTTGTTTCTGGTTTCCTTTGCTGTGCAAAAGCTTTGAAGTTTCATTAGGTCCCATTTGTTTATTTTTATTTCCATTTCTCTAGGAGGTGGGTCAAAAAGGATCTTGCTGTGATTTATGTCATAGAGTGTTCTGCCTATGTTTTCCTCTAAGAGTTTCATAGTTTCTGGCCTTACATTTAGGTCTTTAATCTTTTAATTTTTAATTGTGATAAAAATACACATGACATAAAATTTCCATCTTACCTATTTTTAAATGTACAGTTCCTTAGTGTTGGGCTTGGTTATTGTGCAGCCGATCTCCAGAACTCTTTTCACCTTACAAAACTGAAACTCTGTACCCATGAAACAGCATCTCCCATTGTCCCCTCCCCCACCCCTGGCAACCACCATTCTACGTTCTGTCTCCATGGATTGACTACTCTGGCTACCTTGTATATGTGGAATCCTACAGAAAATTGGTCTTTTTTGTGACTGGCTTATTTCACTTTGCATAATTTCCCCAAGGTTCATCCAGGTTGTTGCATGTGTCGGAATTTCCTTCCTATTTAAGGTTGAATAGTATTCCTTAGTATGGATATACCACATTTTGATTATTCACCTGTTGATGGACACTTGGGTTGATTCAACCTTTTGTCTGCTGTGAATGATGGTGCTATGAAAATGAATGTACAATCTTCTTTTTAAACTTTCTGGGTCCAGATTACCCATGTAGCAAAATGGGCTTTATTATAATGCAGTGTAATGAGGATTAAGTAAATTATATTATATAAAACCATATTCTACCTTGCCTAATATATTATAGGTTTTAATAGGCATTAGTTGCTAACAATAATAGGATTTTAAATTTGGAAGGAAAGTTTATCTGATCTAGGATTTTCCAGAAGATGTTATTCTTACCAGTAGCGATAAAAAATGATTTTAGAATAGTCCACAAATATTTTTGAAAATTTAATAATGCTTCATTTATTATATAGAGTACCATAGGAATGTAACAAGCATACCAAGGCTCATGACTGTGTGCATATTAGTGTTTAGGACAAGACTAAAGTTGATGTTTAAGTCAAGTTCATTTTTTAAAAAATAGCAAAAATGATGAAAACGGGACGTGACTATCTGAGGCTTGGAAGCACCGATATGGAAAATAAGAGTGATCAGACCCAGAACAAAGCTTTTATTTTTCTCCCCTTTCCCATTTCCTGTTTTTTTTTTTTTCTTTTTGCCCATTCAAAAAATATTCAATTCAGGCTGAACTCTCATCTGTCTTGGGACTCATACAAAATAAGCCCAAGTTTTAACCTTGCAGTTAATTTTTTTGCAAGGCTAGTGTTGGAATAAGTGATTCAACCAAAATCACTTAAGTTTTCTATAATCTACAAGCACACACCTCTCGGCAGGACACACCATGCTGAAGCATGTTATCTGAGCTGCCTCAAATGGAACCTGTCCTTATGGTGCCGCCAGGCCACAGGAAATCACAGACTTTGGGAAACTGTTTTAACAATCGTGCATTCATAGCATTTGGATGGAGCCCCGCAAAACACAGTCATTAGTATTTCAGCCCTAAGTCACTGCCATATCTGTTTTGTTATCTAAGCATTGCAGCTTAAGAGTGCTCTGAGCTGACCTAAGCTCACTGTTAATACCAGATCACAAATTTTAAAGGCAATGTAGAATTGCGTTAAAGAGCAGACAGTAAGCCAGAATATCTGCAGGGAATACAATCTTGTTTGGCGTCATTAGTCACATGAACGTATCTGAGCCCTCTTCCCATCTGTAAGTCCAGCCGTCTCTCCCTCATGGCATGAGTCAGTGATGTTGAGAAATTTCTCAGCCTAGCCAATCTTTTATTTCATTTTCCCATGACAAATTCAGTTAACCAAATCACATTCTGTGGCTAAATCCACAAGTACAACATATTTCAACACTGTTTTGGGCAGTTGTGATGTTGCCAAATGGATAATATTATGTTTGCTGTTTTGTAATTGACAAGAAACTGAATTTTCAGTGTCCTATGTTGCTCTCGACAAATGCTATCAAACCGCCTTCCCCCGGCCGGCATCTAGTGTTCATGAGAGAGAGCTAAATTATGAATCCAAGTTTTTAAACCTCAGAGAGTTTCATTAATTATCTAATGGAGCTCTCATTAACGTTTCATTGTTTTGACTTATTTTTCTCAAAAATTGATTTAAACTTGGAAAACGAAGGTAAAACATAGAGTCTGTGCCGCAGTTTTTCATGTGTGTAGCTATTACTTCTTGGGAATAAATCTAAGTAATCCTTATTTTTGATTGCCTCCTATTTTGCTCATCTCATCATACATGGATGGTTTTAAAATCACCCACACTTCATTTCCTGCAACTTTAATCTGCTCAGTTGGCAATTTCTCTCAGCCTCTGGATGTGTCAAACAGGACACACTGCCTGCCTTTCCTAGCCCATCACAAGCATCCCTCTAGTGGTGGATAAAAGAATTTCTTTATCTCCACTATCAACAAGTTTTCCAGGAGACCATGTCAACAAGTGAGAAATGCCCTAAAGTATATGATGAATATGATAAAGCAAATAGCCTCACAATGTTATGGAAATGCCTTTGTAAAAGAAATTTAGCTACTCTGTTATTTTCTCTGATTCTTCTTATACACTATGTGTTACCAAAGAGATTCTGCTCTCCTTTGGCTGCCTCCTATGACTGTCATTTATCTGTTCTATGTAAAATATCACTCCATGCTCAAATCTATTTTAATTTCTCATTTTGCATTTCAAGCTCCCAGTCAGCCACCAGGAAATGTTGTTTGGAATGCTACAGACACAAAAGTGTTACTTAATTGGGAGCAAGTGAAAGCCATGGAGAATGAATCAGAAGTAACAGGGTACAAAGTAAGTTGTATCATTTGCAATGCTTTCTTTTCCTGCTTCTGGCAGTACTTTTCAAAGGAAGCTAGATTTGAACAGTTTTTCTAAATGTTGATGGTGTGATCTTTATAAACTACTTCTGACATACAGATGTCAAGCTGTTTATGAAAAGGGTATTTTTCCAAAACATCTGATTTCTTAAATATAAATTTAAGTGACATAATTCTGCTCACGTGGGAATTTTAGACCAAATGTTGGTAAGTTGTTCGTTACGTTAGTTTCCTATTTCTGATGCTCACCCATATACTACTTAAAAGAACAACTAATAGCATTGGCTCTGATTCTTTGGTCTCCTGTTCAAGATCTATACAGTAGGACCTTGCCCCCATCTCTCCATCCTCACAAATACCCAAGCAGCTGGACTTTTCATAGAAGAAGTTTTTTCTTCCCCACCGCCTTCATTTTGAGCACCTGCTGATTCTACCGCGTGCTGATCCCTAGTCTAAGGTGACAGAGCTATGAATGCAGCCTGTATTTTAGTGGGTATGGAAAACAAGCAATATAAATGAAGTAACATCAGAGTAATACGTTTATGAAAAAAATAAAAGAGGGCACTGTAAAAAAGTCAATGTGTTTGTTCATGCATTTTAGGTTTTCTATAGGACTAGCAGTCAAAATAATGTGCAAGTGCTAAACACAAACAAAACTTCAGCTGAACTTCTGCTGCCCATTAAAGAGGACTACATTATTGAAGTTAAGGCCACAACGGATGGCGGGGATGGGACCAGTAGCGAACAGATCAGGATTCCAAGAATAACCAGTAAGTTGGTCGACGTCAACATCTCCTTATTTCCCGGCATCAGTTATGAGCCCCCAAGAGAGAGTCAATCGGTGCCTCCCTCTCCACTCTTTGTTTTCCTACCACTTCTTTCATCTGAATGCTGAGAAGGTCTTGGAATATGAGAGATGAGGGCAGGAGGAATTCCTCACGAGTGGTGCAAAATAAGAATGATAAGAACAGAATAACAGAAAAGACATTGAGAAATATTTAGCAAATTTTATTAATTTAATTTTTTTCTCATTCTGAGCTATGCATAAATTTGCCTTTGGATTGTCATAAAACAGAATTCCTTAAGCATTTCTCAAGGGCAACGTTGAACCCACAAAGTGTTTTTAAGATCTTTAATATTCCACTTGTTTGCCTCTGAGAAATTATAGATGAATCTTATCAGTTCTTTACCAAGTAGAAAATTTAGCATTGTTAAATTAAGGTCAGAACCCATTTGGCCAAACCAAAAGACACTTTTTAAAAAAAATTCTTAGTTTCTGATTTCAGTGGAGTTTCATACTTGCTTTTCTTTTCAAAATCCAAATGAAGCCTATTGTATTATAGAAATTGTACTTTTAGAGTTCAGGGAAACAGACTTTTCATACGTATTTTACCAGTGACTGTGTTAGAAGAAATTTTATCTTTTAAATCTCAAGGGTGGAGTTTTGTGGCCTCAATTTAAGTACTGCAGAAGCCATGCTATTCTACGGTTCTTAGTAACCTAAATTACTTTGCTCCCTGTTTCTTTTCATCGAGGTTGGCCTAATCTATAATCTTGGGCATTCAAGATTAAAACCCTTATTTGTAATCTTGGAAAACAAAATGAGGGACATCATTAGCAAGTAAAGAGAAAGGGAGATGTGGAAACTTGGAGGAATTTTATCTCTTCATGAAATCATAAAGACTGCAATACTTAGACCAAAACAAACAAGTAACTAAATGGAGAAAATGGGAAATATTTATCTCAGAACTGAGTTCTGCAACATAAAAATATGTAAAAATCATTTAGGACTACAGACATTTTTAAAACTGTATGTGCTTCAATAGAGCAAAACCAGGAATTAATTTAAGCTTATTATTATTATTTAGGTTTTTAATTAAGACCTGCTACCTTGTTCCTAAGATAGCTCAAGGTTCAGAGGTAAAATTACAATATGGCCAAAGTGGAACTGTTAAAAGGAGTAGGTTCTGTGCTTTTGCAGGAACAGACAGATTTTAGCATTTGAGGGTTGCTGAGTCAAGAGTAGCCTTTCCCTCTGACATCTGCCTTCTTGTTGAGTTTGTATAGATTGGTGCAGACAAAGGCCAACTATAGGAAAATGGAGCTTTTTTAAGATGATATTTTATATTATACATAATAACTTATCTAAAAATGTACAGAAGAGAAACAAACATATTTCATAACCCTTCTCCAATGAAGCTTTCTATAATTAAACCATTGAATTATCTCAAAAATGTCTGTAATGGAGTATAATTGTTTTCAAAATGATGAAGTTGTTTTTCCACTTTCAATTAAAGTTAAATAATACTAGATGAACAAAGCCCAGAATCCCTTAAGAAAACTTAAGTATATAAGAGTGTTTATAGATACTCTTGGCAAATAATCTATACTACATTGTTAAATAACATGAAGGCTAATGTTAACTTGTGGTAGTTAAGTTAGTTACTTAAATTGATACAGTCCTTATTAATGAGCTCTTTATCCTCTTTGACAGATACGGATGCAAGAGGTTGTACGTCAGCCATCTCCAATGCCCACCCTGTGTCAAGTTATATCTCTACAGTACTGTTCCTTATTGTAAACACCCTGTGGTGATAGTCACTTTTTTTTTATTATTATTTATCGGAAAGTTCATTGGTTACAAAAAAAGTGCTTTCATGAAATGCAGTGATTATGCATGTTTTTTTCCAACTCTGTATTTTTAACTTTCTACATAGGTAAAATATGAATATAATAAGAAAACAAACCCAGTAAATCCTTTTAGGGGAATCTGAAATGCCTTAATATTTACTTGATACACCAAAGGAATTTACATATTACATACATCCGGTTTTTGATAGAGACATTCTTATGATTTTAAGCACTGCCTGTGGATAAAGGCTCACATGCTTCCATGTATACACACCCACATGCAGACACATACTTTTGTGGGTTTGTTTTTTTTTTAACGTAGAAAAACTCATTTACTCCAGATGCTTTGCTCCCATTGTAACAGCACTGTTTGGAAGACATAATTAGTGTTATTTGGAAATGCTCATTTGAAATACTCAAGGGTGAAAGATACATTTTAAAAATTACCCTGTTGGGCAGAGGGTGCATGTAATTCAAAAGCATGTTGTTGGAGATGCTACGGTAGACTTTGGAAGAGTGCTGTTTCGTCCGGGTATACTGCTGCGTGGTTGTGAGATTCTTTACAAATCACTGCTCTCTCTACTTCTCAAGCACTCACCCTTAAAATGTGGAGATAATAATACCCATCTTATCTGCCTCTCCCCCATGAATTACTTGCTAAAAGATAAAGAAGGAAATGTGAAAGTGCTTTGTTAGCCCTAATGCACTAGGCCTGTGCAATATATTAGTATGAATTTATTTAATCATATTGAAGTCCTGAGGACCAGCCACATTTTTAAAGTTTGCATTCCATTCTAGGTAATGCTTTCCTTTTCATTCCATGATATTATAAAACTGAAATGATCACATTTTATCCTCTCTCAAAAGGTTTAAAAAGTGAAATAAAGTAAAAAGGGATTGTTTCCTTCACACCTAAGAAAAAGCTTTCAGGTTTTATTAAAACATGTTGGAGAAAATTAGGAACAACCTGAATCTTAATCCAGATATTAAACAAAATGTACGTGATCCTTCATTTCCAATCTCTGATTCCATCAAGGGACCCTCTCTTTTTTGGATGGTGGAGATGGTTTTTAATGAAATCCAACCGTTTATGAGAGTGAGTCTGGCAGGCTTTTTAGTTCCTGAGCTAAATTTGTAATAGAACCGTGGCCATGCTGCTGACTTAGATATGTATGACTCAGTCTCTCAATACATGGTGTTCAAAGGATTGTCGAAGACATGACTTCATAGCAGTATGTAAAAAATATATGAAAATCAGCAGATTGAGTGTTACACATTGCAAAATCAATTTTTTGCCTCTTTCCTGCCCATTTCACATTTTACAGGAACTTGTTCTTTGCAAAGATATCTGAATTTGAAACCAACAGATATCACAAGAGAATACATATTAGCAAAATTCTGATATTACCATAGAGTGTTACTTTACATTTAGAGATCACATTTAAGATAAAGTCATTATACACAAAGAAGAAAAATATTTATAACTTTTCTCTTCAAGGTCTGTATATACTGTATATATCTAGAAAAATTCTGAATGACGAGTAGATTTCATATGACCATTGTTATTTCAGGTCAAAAAGTGGAGAAACACTTTCTCCAATACCTGTATTTTATGCTACATGTAATGGAGTTGTACCTTTTTATTATTTGGTAATTCCTATAATATGTTCCTATACTTTTCATTTTCAAGGCAATTACTCTATTGTTTCATGGTGTTTCTAGAAATATATCTCCATGAGATATGTACTTTGTTTCATATTGAAAAGTATAAAATTTACCTTTAAATTCCTGTGTGTGTATCCTATGGTTATCTGTATGTATTATTTTTTATTATTCTAATAAAATTTATAAAAATCAAATTCCCATGCATGTTGAATTGTGGTATGGTCAAAAAGAACATTTTAAGGGGGAAATAAGTGGGCACCATAATAGTTATGCTGATGCTATCATTTCTTATATTCTTCAGCCTACTTTTAGTCTTTCCATCTTTTAATCTTTTTTTTTTTTTTTTATACCCTAATGACTGAGTAAAATCAGCAGTTTGAGACAACACCCTCTCTATTAAAGGGATTTCAGCTCTGGGGAGAGGAGAGGAGAGAGAAGCAGAAAATTCACTTCATAGAATTACGGTATCCAGTTTCTTCTGACTTCTTCTGAAGTTAATGTGGCTACTCCCACTTTTCTGACAAATATCCTCTTAAGATTAATATCAACTTATCAGCTCTTCCATTGACTTTCTCCTTGGTATCAGTGTTAGAGACTTGCTTCTAAACAATCCTTGTGGTATAATATATTCTAAATGTTTGAAAATGTATACTAGAAAAAGATTAATTTTCAATTAGTAAAGAGTGTTAAAAGTTATTGTTGATGTAAGGAAAATTAGAGCTAAAATAATAATTTTCTTAAATGAAAATTCAAAGATATATTTAGAAGTAGGAGAATTAAGTGAGAAAAGTATGTGTAGGGGTGGTACCACGGTATGAAGGTGTGTGTGTTCATGTGTGTGTGTGTGTTCGTGTGTGAGTTTGTTCGTGTGTGTGTGTTCATGTGTGGGGGGGTGGCTGTAAATTTAAGTCTAGTTGTACTAGGTGCATTAGGGTACCCTAATAAAGGGCAAAGAGCTGGGGAATATGGAGAAACAGATTATAACACCAGAACCAGCCCTGATGTCCTCTCCCCCGAAGCCAGGGCTGTTTGATATGGCACAATCAGGTCAGCAGTGAGTCATACTGCCTTGATCTGAATTGCATCCTCACCAGTTAGTGGCCCTGTGATCTTGTACTAGTTCTATAACTTCGCTAAGCCTCCATTTCCCTGTCGGCAGAATAGGACTATGGTGGTATTATCCTCATAGAGTTGTCAGATCTTCAGTGACTACTAAACTCCTCTGCACTGAAATTTCCTCTTTTATGAAAATGGAGGTTATTGGTGCTACCCATTTAGAGGGCTGGGAGTTAGGAAACAAGATGATGTGTGAGTGCTTAGAACCATGCTCTTAGCATTCTTCTTCCCATCAGTAGGTAACTATATGACACTGGAAGACAGAAGACATCGTTCGAAGGTGGCTTTGTTGTATACATTTAGAGCTCTCCTTTGATCTCATTCTACTGAGAAGAAAGGTATATGATTCCAGGAGTTCCTAGAAGAGAGGGTAAAGTAATGCTAGTATCAGATTAATTTTTCATAGTAATGTAATACTGATCCTATTAAACAACATATCTTCACCCTCCATGTGCCAGGCTCTGAGTTAAGCACTGTACCTTTGCTAAATTCATCTTTACAACAGTCTTCTTAGTTAGGTACTATTATCAAACCCATTCTACAGATGAGGAAACTAAGGGTCAGGAAGATTAAGGACATTGTACTAGGTCATTCTAGCAAGGGCATAGTAAAGCGGAAGTCTAACCCAGGTAATCTGGCTGTAACCCCTGAGTCTGAGGCATGAAGAGGTTTTTAATCCCTTTCAAAATCAGATCCATTAGATTTAGAGATTCTGAATAAGCATCTCTAATGTCAATTTGTAGTATAATTTGTTCTGCCCTCTATTATTGATCATAATTCAAACCGGAGAACTGAACACTTGGAAAGACTTCTTTTGTCTATAATAAATTTTGATATTCTCTAATTCTTACATGGAAGGCTATCCAAGCTAAAATTGACCAAGCGTAAGTATTCTTTAAGTAAAAATTATAAAAATATCTGTCTGTTTTTTAAAAATAATTTTTAGGTTTTATGTTTAATTTTCTCCACACATTTTTTTTTTAAATTGAAGATGGTTTGTTGATTTTCTTTTTTTTAAATTTTTTTTGTTTTTTTAAATTTTCATTAATATTACCATTTACAATGAAAACCTAAGAGTATAATTCAATTAAATAAAGAAAAATGATTAGAATGTTACAAGTTCTTATTTTTCAATTAAAATCACCCCTGTCGTTTCATGTTCTTATAGCTCCATCTTTTTTTAAATTTAAAATTAATCTTTGGGTTCATTTTTTTCTGAAGTATTTTACCCTTTTTAAAAATGAAAATTGTGCCGATACTCATTATCATTTGGAATCACTTCAGTAAATATTGGAGGTAAAATCACCACAGCGGTATTACAAATTTAGCAATTAGTAAGTTGTACCATTCTTTTGAAAGAAAATATGTAAACAGAGAGGACTATGGTTCATTGAAATGGTTAGGTGTTTCTGCTGTGATTTTTATTTGAACCCTGTGCCCTAATTTAACATGTCTTGCTTTACACGTAGGTGATAATTACCTCTTGAACTTGCATGCGGAATAAATGCCCTGATACAGAATTTAAGTTGTAAGCGAGGGTGCTTCTGTTATTTGTCAGCATTCATTCTTATTCTTTACTCTTATTCTGCCTGCTGAAATTATCTTATAGCCTGATGATTCTACCTTGGTCATTAATACTGTGGGGAAGAGAAAGAATTATATCCTGCGCAATTGGATGTTACCTGGGAAAACTCAGGAAAAAACAGACACAAATGATAAGAACCGCAAATTGAATTATTTTACCATCGGACAGTAAAATGGGACAGTCTAATATAAATGACAATGCTAATGTAAAATGTCTATCGAGACTGGCTAATGAGGAAGTGAAGGGTCCATCCAGTGTGATTGGCGTATTGGCCTTTCCAAAGCATCCAGGCAAGAATGGCTGCCCTTCCAAGACTAAATTTCAAGATCACATATGGAAATGCTCATTGGGATCGTAAACTGGCACAGTAAGTACACGCATTGTGTGTAGCTCATATTTATCTGTTCAGTACCTAACTGTTGAGTGAAATCGGGATTAATCACCATTTTGTCTTAACCCTCACCGATTTTGCTTGCTTAATTTTTCCTCCTGTGCGACCCGTGAAGCTATTAAGATATGATGATTAGGAGACGAAGAGGTATTTTAAAATGTGTTTGAAATAATGATAAGCAGTAGATCATCTATGTTGGGAAAGTTGACCAAATTGGGATGAAACAGTATAGCATAGTGGTTAAGAGCATTTGTTCCCAGTCATAGATCTGTGTTGGAATCCTAGCCATGTCCCTAAATAACTGTGTGATCTTGGACAAGCAGGTTAATCTTTCTAAGACACAATGCTTATCTCTAAAAAGACACCAATGGAAGGAAGGACCCGCCTCAGAGGATTGTCATGGTAAGAGGACATGATCTAACCATAGAAAGCTTTTTATCATAGTTTGGCTAATGGGTACTCAATCAGAAAGTCTAATAAGTTAATAATAATATTATTATTGGGGTTTTTTTGTTTTGTTTTTACAAGGGAACATTATGGTTTTCCTTTTTATTTAATTAAAGAATGAACATAATATAATATGTTAAATAAACATAAATACACATATTTATAAACATAAATAAACATAAATAAATACAGCACAGTTACTCCAGATCATTCTTCATATTGTATACAAACAGACCAATGAACGTAATCTGAAAGAAAGCTGCAGTCAGCAATGAAATGCATATAGCTTTTCCTTCCCTCACTCAAAAAAATTTAAAAACACACTTAAAAATTTTAAAACTTAGAATCTCATCAGCACACACTCTCCTGTGACAAATGATTCAGACATCAATAGTGGGTGCAAAGAAACTATATGCTAACATATGTATAACCTTTGTTAATGAAAAACAGAAGCGGCCATAATGATTAAGATACATTCGGTTACTGATAACTAGTTGTACCCTAAAGGGCATTATCAAAAGAGAAATCGTGCTGCAGAGAAAAGCTATATATACATATACAATGAGAAGAGAAATAGTGCTGCAGAGAAAAGCTATATATACATACACAATGAGAAAATAAACTGCAAGATTAACGCATGCATGTTTAATACTGGAAAAATCACAGCCGTCCAAAATTTCTCCACGTTTGTTATAAAAGCCCTCTGCACTCAACTAAAATTAAAATGATCTTAAAAGGATAATACTTGTAAAGTTTACTTAAGTCTTTTCAGCCACAGAAACTGCAATGTAAATAAATGTTCAGAGTCATTTTCAAAACAGAAACAAAAATCTATTCTCCTGATGACATGCATGATTAAAAGGTCTATGCAAAAACATTGCTCTACATTCCCAATGACTAGGAAAAAAAACCTCAAGTCAATTTTTGGTTTGCAGATGGTCAAAGGATTTTGTATTCCAGCAGGAGTTCAAATCTTCTGCATCTTTTCACCAACAACTACTGGATTTTCTTTTCTGATTTTCTCTGCAGCATCAGCTTTGTAATTGTAAGAGCAGTTGTGTACATGTGAGTAACGGTGTACACCACAGTACGCATTTCCACACCGGCCTTCAAACCCAGTAAGTCCCACTTTCTTCCTGCACATGAAACAGCGATTCTTTTTTTGTTTTGGTTTTTCAAGAGACGTACTTTGCTCTTCAGATGACTGCTCTGCGGTTTCTGATCCTGAAGCTTGCAGGTCTTCTCTTGCAGGTATTGCTTTGTTCACAGATGTGCTGTCCACTTGGGAAGATGCTACAGATTCTGATAAGAGTGACTGATTTGGTACAGGGCTTGGCTGCGTAGATGAAGATGTAGAATCTAATGCCAACTGAGCTTCTGGGACACTGCCATCTGTGCCCTGAACTGGTAAAGACTCAGACTACTGACAGAAGGTGCAGGTGGGCTTATTCTACCATTACTACTATTCTGTCTCTGAAGATGTTCTTTATAACATATTGAACACATGCCATTTGTACGAGGGTTTCCATAAAATCCGCAGCCAGTGGAACAAAGTATAGGCACTTGGCTCTGGTTAGTTTCTTGAGCTATGTTCCTCTGTTGCACACTCTGATGAAAGTATACGGACTTTGGATTAGGGTTCCTACTGCA